CAGGGGCATTTTATTGCATTATCCGGAGTAGGAGTAGATCAACCATTGATCACCCATCCGGCTGCCAATGAAACGGCTGCCTGTTTACCGTTGGAGGAAACAGTTAGCCATTTCAGGGGCATATCATGGTACAATCGCTTCATCCGGCGAAAAATAGAACGGTTGTTCATGGTAACCGGATGAGTAGTAGAAACTTGTAAAACTTTTAGAAAATGCATAAAAAAATGCAAATAGTAGAATAGCAAAACCGACTGCGTCGGTTAGTAGATTAAAAATTTATATATAGAAATGTTAACCGGACCCCCGTCCGGGAAAGTTACACTCAAAGATACTCGGCTCGCAGGCTGGAAAAGAAGATAAAAAATGTTTATGGTTGTTGCTGTTAAGGTTGTTGTTATTGAGCTTGCTGCTGCTGATGCTCCGGCTGCTGAGTTGGATCGAATAGAACTTCGGCCGACTGCTCCACCGCTTGCTGATCCTCCACTTGCGCTTCTTGATTAGCCCCATCTGGCTTAATCACATTGTTGCGCACAACCCACTCGTCAAAAACGGGAGGAGGGTCAGCCCTGAGTACCTTTGCCTCATAAACCTCAGAGGCATACTGGTATCGAAGATTCCAGTATTCGTACTCGAAATCCGGATGGATCAGGTTCCAAGCCAGCTTCATACGTTCTTCGCAGTCGGCCTCATTTTCTGCAATCAGGCGGAGTTGTTCCTCTTCCAGCTCTTTCTTATGAGTCGCCTGATTGTTTGCAAGTTCAGTTACCAGCCGGCTGTTGTCCTTCCAGAGATTGACATTCTCCTTGTCAGCATTCTCCTGGGCTTTAAGGTCAGTTTGAAGATTTTTGACTTGAAGCTCAAGCTCATCAACTCTCTTCAAGGCCGCCTCCCCAGCTTCAGCCGCCTTCTTCAGCAATTCCTTTGTTTAGTTTCCAAGTCATATGAAATGGCATTGAATTGGCAAACGTCAATAAGCTCAGATGCGCGCTTCTTAGCGTCTCTTACCTCCTCCTACTTCTTGCAAAGAGGGACGCTAAGGCCATCAACTCTCAGCAGCGTCTGCGATATCAGCTGGGAAAAGTGTTAGGAAAGATCAAAAACAAAGTACTTGCACCCGGTAAAAAAGATTATTACTTAAACATAGGCCATCCGGTTTATGTACCTCAGCAAGAAGAGAAATGATCCGGTCAAGACTGACCGTGTGCACAGCCGGCACAGCTTCTCTCTCAGACCAAGTGATTGTCTTGACCATCCTCTTAGCATATTGCTGGTAGTTTGGACGGCTAGAGGTTGTATCTGCAAGCATAGAATCATTTGTAAGGTATTGGGCATATGCCTCGCCAATATCCAGGCGGTGTCCAGAAGAATCCCCGGATTCGCTTGCTTGGGTTTTTACTCTCATATGCCCAAGCGGCCAGGGCGGATCAAAGGCAGAAGTTTTACCCTTTTCGGACTGTGGGGTCAAAGCCCCCCCAGCCGCTAAAGAACCGGAGCCCGTTTGAGTACGAGCATCCGGTCTTGCTGACTCCACCACCATTTCAAAGTGGGGAGTGAATTGCAGGCTCTTCCCTGCTGTTGTTGGCCTGTCCTTGTTAGGCGTCTTATGTTTCTGACCAGTAGCCGGGGCAGGAGCCGCCACCCTAGGCACTTTGGCGGCGGGCTTGGGAATATACTCAGCCGGTCGTTTTTGCATACTCGCTACGGAGCGAGGTATGACTTGGCTCCTGGCCTGAAAACAGTCAAAAGAGGATGCATCCGGTAAAAACCTTGTAACAAAAAAAGGGTACATCCGACAAAACAAGAATAAACTGTAAACAGAAAGATGGTTAAGGAAAGACTACCCCGGCATTCTTGGCGGCCAGCGCCGCTTTCTTCTCTTCAAGCTGCTTCTTCCTCAAAAGAATGGCAGAAGTAGCCGGTGTCTTCTCTGGTGGCACCATTCTTTTTACTTCTTCTACAAAAAACAAGAGAGAAAACATGGTTAGAGATCACACAAAGCATACCCATCCGAGAAAGACTTGATCAATCAGTGAACCTACCCTTGTTAAACATGGTACTTAAATTACAAAGGGACAAAAAAGCCTCATCCTTAAACCAATCCGGATGGGGCACCCAAAATTGGGGAACTATGATCTCGCCTCCATCATCCAGTGGGGCGGTTGTCTTCAGAAAGAGACCCTTCTGCATTATTTGGTCCCAATCCTCACCTTGTACTCTAGGGAGAGCGCATTTTCTTCCCAGAAATGTTGGATGCTTATGGTATCTACGCAGTCGGCGGTTAAGTTGGGGGGATGGGGAAGAGACGACATAAAATTTACTCTTCCAATTACTCCATTTGGACGGCTTGTCCAAAGTCATCATATACTCCGGAAGCGTGGTGAGAGTGTACCACGCATTCCACCCACCCGGCGCTCTGCTTAAGTAATGCATATGCGCAAATGCTTGCCAGCTTGGCTTGACACCCTGTAGCTCGCAGGCGGAAATATATCCAAGTATGTTGACCCATGAATTAGGGGTCAACCTCCATACACCCAAGTCATACCCCTTTAGTATGGCTTTAATGCAGTGATGGAGGGGGAACCGGAGGCCGGCTGTAAATGCCGCCTCGTAGCAGCCGACGTAGTTGTCGGCATTTTCCACGTCGTCGGTCCAAACGACGCTTGCCTCTACAGGCGGGAAAACCACTTCCCATTCCTCCCCAACCGGCTTCTTCTTTGAAAAAGCAGGGAGTGTGGCGTTTAAAGTGACCACATCCCTGGCGGCCACATCCCTGGCGGACATGGTCATATCAGTTGGGTCGCCCTTAGCCGGCCATTTGTAGGCCTCTTCATCAATGCGAGCCGCCTCTTCAGAAGACTCTTCATTAGGGCCAGGGCCGGACTCCTCATTATCAGCTGACCCCTCTCCGGATTTTTCACCAGATCCCTCTCCGGATCCCTCACCGGATTCCTCAGCGTTGGAACCAGAGCTATCCAAGATACTATCACCCGGTGTGCTAGGTGTATTCAGGGAATCTTGCGGAACCTCTTCATTAGGATCCATCTCAGCCGGTTCCTCGGCTTGTTCCTAATTTATAGGGTCAGCCGGATCAACGGCTGCATCGTCGGACTGGTAATCAGGGTCGACTGCCGTCACTCTGATCCGAGCCATTCTGTCCTGCACATGAACAGAGACGGTCGGATTTGATGTAGGTGAAGGTTTTTCCAAGCACCCCAAGACGGCAATCCCAGTCCTAGACTCAGCCGTTCCTGGTGACCGGCTGACCACAGTCGTAGGCTGTGCCATGTGTGCATTGGTGTAGTCCAAATCCTAATACTATGCAACCGGAAATAAAAGAAAGTGACAAGTATGGGATGCAGGCGGTACCTTTGAAATGAGAAAGTTGAAAGAGTTGGCTTGAAGTCACCTCAGGCGGGGAACTCCATAAAAGTGTTTAAAGCTGGAAAAGACAAAGTAAATGCTTAGCCGGTTATTCACTAACTCGCCCAAGAACACCCCAGACGGTGTTCAATGATGTGGGTCAGAAGTACCCCAGACGGTTTAAGGCCGGATGGGGGTTCTTTCCAAACATTTGTAAAAGCTAGGTAGATTATCAAAAAGCTCTCTATAATACCCCAGACGGTATTAGACCGGATGAGGGGTTGTGACTTGAATTTATGTAAAGGCTAGCTAGATTGTTGTAAAGCTCTCTATGACACCCCAGACGGTACTCAGCGAGCTAGGTAAAAAGTATCCCAGACGGTATAAGACCGGATGGGGGGTTATGACTTGCATTGTTGTAAAACTTAGCTAGATAAATTGTAAAGTCCACTGAATAATACCCCAGACGGTATTCAGTGAGCTAGGTTAGAAGTACCCCTAAACGGTATTAAACCGGATGGGGGGGTTGTGATAAGCATTAGCAAAAGTAGTAAAAAGAATTGTAAGGCTCACTCCATGATACCCCAGACGGTATCAGAGAAGTTGGGTCAGAGATACCACATCCGGTAAAGATGCCGGATGTAGGTGCTGCAAGCAGCATTTAGGGTCAACCATACCTCAAACGGTAAAATACCGGATGAGGATATAGTAAGACCTGTTTCAAAAAGGCATGTTTAAACAATACCCAGACGGTGAGTCACCAGATGGGGGTACATTGAACGCATCTTTAAATTTGAAGAGGTTGCGAAAAGACAAGAATGATGACCCAACCGGCTTTAAAACCGGTTGGGGTTTTTGAATTCATTTCTTGACAAAACAAATACCCAGGCGGTGTAATATCGATGGGGATGCTTTAAAAGCCTTGTTATTTTAAAAATAAAAAATAAAAAAAAATAAAAAAAAAAAAGAAGCCTGCTCAAACAATACCCAGACGGTGAGTCACCGGATGGGGGTGCATTAAACGCATCTTAAAATTTGAAAGGTCATGAAAAATACAAGGATGATGACCCAACCGGCTTTAAAATCGATTGGGGTTTTTGAAATCATTTCTTGGTAAAAGCTCAGAAGTACGCTAGACGGAGTTTCACCGGATGGGTACTTTGAATGCCTGGTTATATAAAGGACAAGTTTATTTAGGAATGGATCGGAGATCCCCCAAACGGTGTTAAACCGGATGGGGGTGTTTAGAATGCATAATTCTTAAAGGTTGAAGACCCCTCAGACGGAGTTATGCCGGCTGAGGGAGGGAATTCAGCACTGGGATATGGGTTAAATGCCCCCCAGGCGGCATGCAACCCGGATGGGGTAAAACGTTCAAAGTCCTCAAAAAACGGAAGTTAAAAGTAGAAAGAAAAGAACAGCCGGTACCTTAGAGATTGGAGAAAGAATACTCAACCGGTCGCCGGATGTGCTTGATTCGAAAATGCCGGATGCAAGGAAACTTAGGAAATTATGCAGCCGGTATCAGAGCGCTCTTAGAAAATTTTTGAAAAATTATGCAAAGTGTGGAGGAGAGAGAGAGTGTCTCTCATTTATAGAGAAGGAGCAGAAGGTGAAACGATGCCTTCTGCTTTAAAAACATGAAATTTGAAAAAAGGAGGGAAGAAGACGAATCGTCTCCTCCCATGCGTCTGACACTTGTCACAGGTGACACGTGGACATGCCACGTCACACTTGTGAGGCGCATATGTTTAGGGTAAAAATCCCCCTAAGACACGTGGCCCTATAAAGGCTTGCCACGTGTCAAGTTTGCAACGGTCACCAAAGGCCCAATCCTTTTGCGACACGTGTCATTGTACCCTAATTGAGGTACAACTCTCCCCTACAATAAATAGTAAGGGCAGACCTCATTAATGGGGATCGAATCATTTTCCACCAACGAACCAAACACAAATCCCCTTGCAAACGCTCTCAAATCGAGAAGCATTTTTTGTCTTATTTCCTCAATAAGAAAGAGACTAACTTAATCTTCGGAGGCGGAACACCCTAGCCCCATCCGGAGTATTCCGTTATTTGTGCAGGTACAGGCAAAGGAAGGAGCATACTAGGAAATTGTAACTCTCCCGCAGGACACATAACAAAACCCCCAAACACTATTCACAAACTTCATTTTGACTATCGTATATAATTTACGCATTAAAAAAAAATATTCACATGGGGTCTTAATAGATTCATCTTAATCTCTTTTTGTTTTTTTTTTTTTTTGTTTTTTTTTGTTTTTTTTTTTTGTTGTTTCTAGAATATCAACTCTTTGTATATTTTACAAATTAATAATTAGTGATCTTATAATCAAAGTTTTACATTGGCAATCCTGAAAAAGGTAAAGTGTTAAGAACCTTTAGAAATAAAAGTAGTATTAAATTCGTCAGTTTCTTTTGGTGTTTGGTCATTTTTGGTTCATACTTCTGTACTGGCTTCAGTATACTGTTGGGAGAGCAATATGAGTCTTGTATATTCATACTACATTAGACTTGGTGGACTAACTAGAGTTATTGGCATGCAGTGGGAGGTTTGCTAAATGCCACATTTGGCAATGCTACAGAGATGATTATTTCTATATATGCATTGAAGATTGGTATGATCAGAGTGGTTCAACAATCTTTACCGGGCTCCATCTTGTCGAATATGCTATTAGTTCTTGGATGTGCCTTTTTCACTGGTGGGTTGTTCATCATCCAAAAATCCAAAGTTTTGACAAGGTATTTCACAAGTGGATTATCAACTTGAAATATGATGTATTAGTTTATCTCTTAGATGTATCTTTCAAGACAATGTATTGATAACTAGTGTAATTTTTGCTGTAGTCTACAGCTGTAATGAACTCTGGCTTGTTGTTAATGGCTGTGATGGGTATAACATTTCCAGCTGTGCTCCATTTTACGCATAATGAGGTGCATCGTGGCAAATCAGAGCTTTCCCTTTCAAGATTTAGTAGCGGTATCATGCTAGTGGCATATGCAAGTTACCTATACTTTCAGCTAAGAAGTCAACACAATCTCTATGATCCAATTGATGGGGTAAGTTTGCAATATCTATGTTCCTTTTTTTGCAGTTGATGATGAAATTTCATTATCTGATAAATCTTGTCTGTGCAAAAAACAGATAAATGGGGATGTAGCACTCAGGAAGATATTCTGTGTCCATAATTGAACGAAGCTATGTTTTATGATCCTCCATCTTGTCTTTAAAATAATTGAACGAAGCTATGTTTGATGATCCTCTATCAAGCTCTTCTTGATCTTGCCGCAGGTCTTTGTAATTAAAACCTCTTCAATTGAATGTGATGGTTTCATTATTATCATGCCCAAACATGTGAGTCTCATCAGTCTGTAAGTTGTCTTCATGTTTTGAATAACCTTGTAGGAAGATTTGATTCTATGCACATAAGCTCTGCCATAAAGAACAATCCTTCTAAGAGATTCATTTGTGATCTTTGGTGTGTAATGTCGGAAATGTTGAACTGATGGATAATGATACAGCCAGACAACATTTTTATTTTACTTGAACCTTTTTCTGGGTGCATCTGACTCGTGGAATATGCCCGTTGCTTTTATTAGTGTGATTCTACTTCCGATTGTGGGGAATGCTGCTGAGCATGCTAGTGCAATCATGTTTGGTGTAAAGGATAAGCTTGTAAGTTCTGAATCTCACTCTATACTCCATCTTGTGCGTCTACTGACTTTAATAACTCATGATGGTACTCTATATTGCCTTCTTTTCTTTAATAGAAGGCTTGTTTGTGTCGTATGGGTGAATCATGTTGATTATTATTGTATTTACAAGGTTTCTTTATGGATTATGTAGGACATCAGTCTTAGAGTAGCAATTAGCTCTTCTACACAAATATCAATGTTTGTGGTAAGTTGACATTACTAATTGGATAAGATTAATTTGTTATAGACCATTTTATATGTTTTATGGTATACGTGTCACTTCAGTCTAGCGAACATGTGAGTATCTGTAATCTTGTTTAATGCTTATGACATTATTTTCTTGTGTTTTAATGATCTTTTAATCTTGAAAAGACAATTTTTGAGTTTATTGATAAAAGTCATTATATATGTTAACTTGGAGAGTTATTTTTCTTTGTTTGTAAAATAAAATTGGGTTTGAAGGTTCCGGTGTACTTAATGACAGTGTGCACACATGCCATATATAGAGATGATTTTATCTTGTATACTATGAGGAGATTTCATTTGCAAGAAGAGATTCCTAAATTCTGGATTATACTTCTCTATTGGATATTAGTAAGCATTTCATAGATATTGCTCAACCTAGTCAAATGATGCTCCATATAAAAGCTTTAAAGAATTGATAATCTACCTCAAAGGGTCTCCTGTTATAGCTACTACTCGGATTGTCTAAGACTCAGTGATTTTGTGGCTTCACTTTGATGTTTTTCAGTAGTTGCCTTGTTTTCGTATGCATGTGTATGCTGTAATCCCCTGCAAGGTTGTACTACGTTATAAGGTTTTTTTATTCTACTTAAGGTGTAGTAAAGATTCACTAAGATTTTAAGGCATTATTATAGTGTCAATTAGATGTTGACTATGAGCTTTTATACAAATCTTGATTCAACCCCAAATTCTGACAAACATGACTGAATTTAGGGTCTTGAACAAGACCGTTCTACACGAAATCGAATATGCAACATGATGTAACTGAAAGATATTGGATCCTTAATTTCAACCAGAAACTGAACGAACCCAGATTATTGGTAATGAATGTGTCCCAGTGTTTTTATCTGCTTTTAATTTGATAGTTTGTGTCTCGTAAAGATTATGTTATACCCTTAATAACTGCCAATCCTTCTGTACACAGATCTTTGATTTGTTCGATGTTAAAAGGAAAGGAGTAGTTGACTTCGGTGACTTCGTCAGAGTGCAGGCAATATTCATCATAATTTATTGGCACTCAGCAACTGGGTTTTCCAGCCCGCAGTGTGGGTAGAGAAAGTATGTAATTAGTAGAATCTTTCCCCTAACCTTTGTTCAATTACTTAGAGATAAGTCTTGATTATTTAATTTTTTTTTGGACGAAAATTGTAATATTATAGCCTTTTTTATAGAAAATATGTAACTTTATATATATGTTAGTGTTTATATATCGATTTAAGTGAAAAAAATGCAAAAAAAATAAGTTTTTTTTTTATTTTTTTTGGGCATTTTTGGCACCGGTTTGAAACAGAACTGGTGCTTAAAGATTTTGTTAATTTTTTTGGCCACTTGTTGCACCGGTTAAAAGCAAGAACCGGTGCTAAATGATTTTTTTGTAATTTTTTTTGCCACTTTTCGCACCGGTTAAAAGCAAGAACCGGTGCTAAAAGTTTTTTTTTAATTTTTTTTGGCCACTTTTCCCACCGGTTCAAAGCAAGAACCAGTGCTAAAAGTTTTTTTGTTTAATATTTTTGAAACTTTTTCCTCACATCAAGAACCGGTGCGAAAAATAAGTTTTCGCACCGATTTTGAACCGGTGCGAAAAGTCTTGGGATTTGGCATCCCTCAAATCAGAACCAGTTCAAAACTGGTGCGAAACGGGGGTTTTGAACCGGTGCTGATTAGCAATTTTCTCCTAGTGAATTCTGACTCTTTTCTGATCTTCCGACCCTCTTTTTCCCTATAAATAGAGGTCGACAATCATCATCATCTAATCCCCTCTCTAAGCTAAAGCTTATTCTCTCTCTCTTTCTTTCATGTTGTCTAGCCTAGCCTTAGCCTAAACACATTCCCACAAACATTCTTTGGTACTTTTCCTAAGCAAACACCATACCTCCTTCTCGAGCCTCGAATGCTCCTAGTCAATCTCGAAGTTGCCTTCGACCTCGACGTGAAAAGTTGATAGTTCTGAGGGTTTGGTCCCAAATCAATATTTCGATTTATATTTAATTTATTTGTTTGATTAAATCTTTCTTGAAGTTTACTAATGTGTGTATTGTTTTGATAAAAAGAGATACGAGGCATCAAAGTAAGTAATTCGATTACTTAATTATTCTTTTGACATAGAAATAATGCTTAGAACCTTATATTAATTCCTAGTATCATGTTTAGGGTGTTAACTAATATTTCTATTATCATGTTTCTAGTATCATGTTTCTAGTATCATATTTAGGCTAAAGCTTGAATCTTTATTATTAGTGACATGCTAGGATTTGTTATTAATCCGTTTAGTATCATGCCTAGGATCATACTATTGATTATTTTTTGATGATATTGTTATGATGATGATTGTTGTGTCAATAATTATATGTTGCTTGATTATTCGTGATATTATTGTTATTGCTTGATCATACCCTTTTCTTGCAGGTTTAAAGGGAATTTGTACTTGAAATCACGCTTAATAAGATAATTAATAATTTGATTTAGGTTAATATGATTTTAATTCAAGTGAACACCAATGATAGATTTATTTGTGTATTAATAATCAACCAACGTAGATTGAATATGCTTAGGATTAATTTGATGGATGTATGTTGATCGAAAAGCGCACATGAATATCATAAGAATTAAGTAGAGGCCGATTTAGGGCGGGTTCGATCTCTTTTAGGTTGAATTTGTACCATCATCCAGAAATATCCAATCATGGTTCCGGACCACTATGGAGTTAGCGATCTCCGTGATTATGAATGGGGTGTAACCTTCACACCCGTGAACAATTTACAAGTTCCTTAAACTTGTTGGCGACTCTTTTATCTCTAGCTTCTTTCCCTTTGGACGCCACCGTACCATGCTTAAATGCATGATCATAGTGGGGCTCAAAGTCGAGTTTGAAAAATTGCCTACACCTATTAGCATATTGGTGAATACCTAACACAAAAACAAGATTTAAAATGCAGCCTTCGGTTTTGGATTTAACAAGGTTTTGAAGAAAATATATTACGGTTTCTTCCAAGATTTTCTCCACGAACCCAGATTATCGAAAAGTGAAAATTTAAGATTTACGAATACATATAATCGTCGATTTCGCATCCCTTGATTAAGATTGTCTAATTAAAATGTATTATTCTAAGACGATTAAAAAACAACCCATTTGCACGAACTCCGGTTTCGAAAACAAAAAAAAATTCGCACATGGTGTGTAGATCGGGGCATGTGTTCATTCTCTTTTGATGTTTGAGCGAATATAAGGAAAAAAGATCGTGATTTGGTTGTTAATTTCATCCATGATGAAGAACGTTGAAGAACATTGAAGAACGAAGAACAATTTTTTTATTTTGATTTTTTTAATTTAATCTTATTTTTGGATTTAATTAAAAAGTGATTTTCATAAAATAATTATGAAAATTTAAAAAAAAAATTAGAAAAATAAAGAAATAAAAAAATTAATTTAAAAAAAGAGAAAATGAATTAAAAAGTGGAAAAAAAAAAATTAAACAAGAGGTTTGACCAAACATTTAAATTATAGGAAAAACCAACCAATAAGATTTAAGAATAGTGATGGTCATTTTAAGCATGAACATAGTATAATTTTTAACCGAGAATCCATAAAAACACTAACCGAATAACCCCATAATGGCTAGCCACACGATGAGACTAGATACATATAAAAATTTGTGAAAGGAATATCATATTTGGTCCTACCTAACCACGTAAACATCGACAATTATTCCCATGGTACACACTTGCCATTATTTAGGTCACTATCTTAAGATAACGCCATTTGAGTCATGAAAAGATAATATTCCTTATGAATAAAAAACATGATATCATACCTAAGAGTAAGTGGGAATTTTGGAAGGATTAAGAAACGAGTTTGGAAGGATTGAGAGACAAAGAATGAAAAAGTGATACAGGAGAACACATGTAGATGAAGTTATGTGAGATGACAGAGTATATATTGACTACATAACTGCATTTCAATATATAAGATCATAATCATACAAATAAAAAGGGAATCCATGTAGTTAAGTATATGACTTTATCTGTCCTCGAAAACTATTCCTTTCTGTCATCATTTTATACTATACTGAATTTCTTGGCTGTTATCTTACTGCCCTGCTGTCAGTGAGATGGTGAACTAGAATTCTTTCTCTCTCTCACATAGAATTTTGTGTGAGATTTGCATATAGTTTACTTAATTCAATCCATTCCTTGAACCCTACATGCTCTTGAAGGATGCACATTATAAGCTACAAAAACTTATTCCACGACATCTACAAATTAAAATCTAATCATAACAATTAAAAATAATTACAATTAACAAAAATAATACGAAAATTTTAATTTATACGTGTCTAATCATACTATTACTTCTCATATACAACAGTACAATAAATTAGGTAATAGGAGTTCCTTACAACAATGTTTAAATGAGATTACCTTAACAAATACTAGGGATCACCATGATTTAAATAATGACATGTCTACATTTTTTTTTTTTTTTTTTTTTTTAACAACGATCTGTTATAAACAAATAGAGTTATTTTGGCTACATGATATGATTGAGCAACTAGTGTCCTTGGTTACTATTATCAATTAGTAAAAATTGCTCTTATAAACAAAAGTAAGCACATAATGTGCCTGGTCATACACTAACTCTAAAAATCTTTTAATCATATGAAAAGTTATTAAAATTCCATCAAGTTAAATCTTTATTTGAATTAAATGATCACATGCGTGAATTGCCTAGACATCGTTAATCTCAACTTAGAAGCACATCCTTCAAATATATGGAAGTTCAAAAAAACAAAAAAAAAATAGAAATAATATAAGAGAATATAACAATATCAGTACAGAATCCTAGTGCTTAGGAGTTCTTCAATATTTAGTGTAAATTACTCTCCCGTTCCTTTTGTTTTTTTCAACTCAAATAAATTTGTTATTTACACAGAAGAGTTTATGAGGCAATAGTAAGGTCTTAAAAGTTAATTACACAGAAAAAATTTTATGTCCTTAATAACTTTAGCTGAATTAATTCAATAGAGATCACCTTACAAATGAATTGAATTGTAAGAATTTTATTGACCTAGCAGCCTTTAACTGACTCGTTGGTTTAACATTACCGAGGAGTACAACATTTTATTTTAGTCTTTAATTTATTTATTTTGGTATAGAGAGCAACAAGAACAACTGACGTGGACGAGATTTACAGGTCTTGTGTACAACATTTTAATTATTCAGTCTGTGTACCTTGATTAATTAAAATATTTGTAGAATAATCTATTGACTCTACTCACATGAATGATAATCTTAATAAAAACATATGAAAAAATTAAAAAAATTACAGTACAATAACAAACCCTTCATTATGGATTATTAATCTTAAAGGACCACTTTCACTTAATTGAGAATTGACTATTCACTAATAATAGATTTGATATTAAATCGTTTAACAAGAATGTTATCAATTGAATAGTTTTGCATACTTGCAACCCATAAATCTACTAGTTGTGGGTAGCATTACAAATATTTGTCTAATAATACCTGTTTAACAAGAACATATCTACTGAAAAAATGATAATTTCAACTAATCTAAATAAAATAAATCCTCTAAACCATGAGGAAAAAAATAAATTTGGACAAGGCATAGCACATAAAAAAAAAGAAAAAAATAAAATAAACATAAAAAGAAATAAAAAGCAATATCATGAAACAATTGTTATTAATGAAACAATAATCTTATTTTATTTTTTTAACAGCTTATGTTTATAAAACATTGATATAATCATGAAAGAAAAAACACCGTAATCGTAAATTATAGTTGCTTGTGAAACTCAGATAACTCGAGAAAAAGGATATAAACCTGCATTCTAATTTGTACAGCACCATACATAAGTATTCTGTAATTTAGAACTTTGTGATATATTTATTATAATGAGACTATATTATGAATAATATCATGATAGATCTTTGATAGATGAGAAAAGTTATTTGTTGTTTACAAGATTTGGATATCATATCACGATTTCCATGTAATAAAATGGTTACCTTAATTACATGAAACTCACAAAGGGCTTATGCCCAATTGATCAAATTAATACAACCAAAAATCACACTCTCTTCTAATTACATTAGAAGACAAATAAAACCCATTCATAAGTGCTATAATAATTTATCAATACACATACTATTGAACCTTAGGGCTATCGCCTAGCCTAAGCTCTAGATCTAAGTACTCAAATTTAGATGCATATACCTTTGGCGCTTGTTCTTCAAACTTATCTAAATTATTTACGGCTGGTGGCGAAAATTTATCGATCTTCCTTTTCTTAGATCGATTTGGTTCATCGCTGTTATCTTCAACTGTTGCCGAGTAACTTAAGCGGATAAAAGAACTGGGTTTCTCTTGGGTCGTGCTGATCTTGTTGGATAAATCCTTGCTTCTTTCATTACTGCTACAACAGAAAAACGCTAGGTCGGGTTTTTCTTGGTCTATGCTTTTGACATATGGTAAATCCGTAAATTTCTGATCATGGTTAAGACAGAAGGCTATGTTTTTTTCATGGCTTATTACTAAAGATGAAACAAGCTGAGATCTAGGAGTACTGATTGTAGTCTGATGTAATGAAACAACAGATGATTGAGATGTAAAATTAGGGCTGGCCGCATCCTTGATATTATCTTCTTCTGTAGTGCAAGGACTTTTGCGACTAACCAAAGACAAACCGGAATTATTAGGATGATTGGGGTAGGATGAATTTCGAGGAGGATCAACTCTTCGATCTTGATGTTGTGAGCTTGAAAACTGCTTGAGCCTGGCTCTATCTCTCCTATGAACATTCATATGACCACCTAAAGCTTGTGCAGACTTAAATTCTCTCCTACAGAAGCTGCAGGAATACGATCGCGGAGGCCATACACATCCTCCAAACATCCCAGCCGCGTCTTCAGCAAAAGCTTTCTCCTCCCATGATTCATCATCATATTTAGGAGCTCGATCCGGTACCATCCAACATCGAGCTTCATCCATTAAACCTAAAAAGTATAGTATCAGAAAGAAAACGAAAAATGAAAAAAAACTAACGCTATATTGGATTTATAATAATACCAAAAGATAGAAATAATTCGAGTGCTGAGATAATGAAAACAACTCTAGGGTTTTTGTAAGGAAAATAATCGGGAGTGGTTGGACAAAACGGAACGACTAGACACCAATACTTGCTTAACTTATGGCTGAAAATGTTGATTTTCTTAACTCTAGTCATTATAACACCTTGTTTTTCTCTTAATTTGCCTCTAAAATAGTACAGTCATTGATTAACTATATTATTTTCTTTTATTCTGCATTGACGATACAACAGTACTGCTTGTGAGTTTTGATAAAAGAAGAGAGTTTTGAAAGTTGCCAAGCATTTACGATAATTTTTGTCAATTCTGACCTCCATTCAGACCTAAAAGTCCAAAATAACCCCCAAAACCTTTGAAAAGCATGTTTTCGGCACGAAAATCAAAGAACTTTTTTTAAACCGTTAGATTTAATGGTTTTCTTGAGGGTAGATGGTAAAAACCAATTTTTAGAGTTTGTTGATTGTAGTAAAATAAAACTTTGAGAAATTTTGGTTGTAAAAAACAATTTCGTGATTTTTTTGGTAGTAAAAGTCAAAAAATCCTTACTTTTTTATTAAAAAAAAATCTAAAAATATAGTTGACAAATTTTGATAAAAGAAAGGATTACGAAAGATATGATCGATATAAAATGATGTAGGATATGATCAAAATTATGTTAAGAAGGTTTTTTTTTTATAATTATATAAATATTTGTGTAAAAGATGTCAAAACTTTTTTATTTTGTGTAATTATATTGTATAAGGTTAGAGAATTATTCTTTTATAATATTTGTTTTTTTTTAAAATTTTATTCAGTAAAAAAAAATAAGGACACATTAGGAGATGACATTATTTATGGTAAAAATCACCTAGACACGTGGCCCAAACAAATGGTGGAACTTGTCCCCTGAGACAGCACTCAAAATGAGCCAACTAGGACATGACACGTGGAACTCATCATCATTGGGGAAATAACGACTTTCAAGCCCAAATCCCGAGGAGCCGTAAAAATGGCGCATCGCATTTACCTATGTCAAAATGACTTAGTGGGCACGCACTCCCACACTCCTATAAATATTGAATATTTATTACAGTGGGATCACATACACACAATTCATCAATTATTACAACATTCATTTCTCTTGTCTCTTAAATCGAGAAAACTACTTTCTACATTTACTTTTCCCGTACTTTCCTCATACAGGTATTAACTTGATCGTCAGAGGCAAAACTCCAAACAACCAGAGCTTCCTTTTTTTTCAGGGAAAGAAGGCGTCAGGCGGACTAGTCTTCATATTGTAACTCTCCCACAAGACACAGCTAAAACCTCTAAAACATTTGGCGCCGCCTGTGGAGAGAGTACCTCTAAGATGGTTCAACACAGTATCGTACCTAATGAAGTGTCGAATGAGGCAAAGGTCAATACTGACCAAGATAAATACGGAGGCACAATTCTATACAGACCTTATCAATGGCTCACCCATTGTTAAACGCATCTGGTCTAAGAATACCAAGGAGAGGAACCTCAATAGAGCGGTCGGTAGCAAGTCAGCTAGCGATCCCAGACTGAAGGGATGTCTCCTCCACCCGTCCACATTACACGCTCGGAACATGGAGCTCCCGAAGAATTTTAAAGGAGAAATCAAAGACTTGATGAAGAACAATTATCATCAGAATGCTAGGCCAAGCAAGGGTTAATAAGCTAAAAAGTCGTTAGTCTGAGCGGCTGAAGGCCACGAAAGACATGGAATCCACTCCTCTCCCAAGCGACGTAGGTGGGTAAATTAATGATTGACTGGGCAAAGATTATTTGTCTTCCAAAGAAGTCCCGGGGAAAGCCCATCCGACATGAAGAACCAGATGGTAGTAAAAGAACTTACAAAGACGCTCGACAACTCATTGAACGCAAGAAGATGCAAAAACTGTCTGATACGACATCTACGTCGTCTATGCCGAACAGCACATTCTAGAATGCCTTAATGAGTATAATGGAAAGTAGGGTCATATTTCCACAGAGAAGCACGCAAGTCAATCAAACTAAACACAATTTCTACGAATCAAGAGTAATATTTTTGGGAGATTTTTAAATAAGTTGAACAGGCTCTAGAAATCGACAAAGAAAACGAAATTAACATAGGTTAAAAATAAATATAACAAACGCTAGGGTTGATTGGGGGTTCCAATATGGAGTAATATGACCAACAACAATGAAATTTATGAAATACATGCCAAGGGAAATTAATCTTACAAAAGAATTCATTTTCGTGAAATTATTCTAGCAAATTGATGAATGTAATCAAATCCCAATCAAGACCACTTTCGTGCAACTAGATTAGACAATAATCAAATTACGGAATTAAAAAGTGCTACAATAAGCCCAAATAATCAATAAGCACATATTCGTCTATTCAAGGCATAATATTTCAATCAATCCTCATTATCCAATCATTCACACTCCATGTCCTTCACCCATTCCCCTAACTAGAAATAAACCAAGCCTATAGAAGGAAGATAAACCATGGAAACTAAGCTAGAAGAAACAACTAGCTCAACAAAACAAAAAAAAGTGATTCACAAACAAGGGTAACAAAATAAAGTAAACAATCCAAACCATAAACAAAAATAACAATCAAATACTAAAGCAATAAACAAAATAAAAAGAATAAGGGAAAGAAATTACTAATTAAAAGCTTGGATTGAAATTACATGAAGGAAAATCAAGTTCAGCAATGGAGGAATTGAAGAATACCAAACCGTATCTCTCTAGAAAACTAGGTTAAACTCTCTAAATTAGGGCTAAAATCTAAATAAGTGTCTAATTACGTAACAAATTGTATTTATACCCACTCACAAAAACCACTAATCCAATAGAATAGGAGAGGGAAAAAAAATGTTTTGCCAAAGACCCATAGGAGCGGGCGCTATAGTAAACTGGAGCGGTTGCTCCAGTCAAGGGGAGCGGTCGCTCCATAGTTTGGAGCAGGCGCTCTAGACACCCTGCCCAAATTTTCGTTTTCTTGAAAACGGCCGCTCTTATAGGGTAGAGTGACCGCTCCAAGCAAACTGTTTTCAAACTTGGGTCTTCTCTTGTTCTCCTCCAATGCACATCTCTAACTCCTTAATTCCCGCTCTTTAATCAACTAAAAATTGGCTTGCCACCTTCATTCCAAACCAACCTAAAACATGAACTCAAGCACACTTATGAGAGGTTTGGGTAGAAGGGTATCATACATGCAACAAGAAAACAAGGAAAATAGACAAAAAGGGCAACTACTAAGAAAGGTGAAACTAAGAGAGAAAGAAGGTAAAACAACGATAAAATGAGCTAGCTAGGAGGTTAAGAAAGAGATTAAATAGAGGGGTAAATGAGACATGTAAGTGGTCTAAAAAGACCACTTATCATGCCTCACTAAGGTACTCCCATACAAGGCATATCCACACGTCACGCGGTTAATCTGCCCATACTGGCCTTCACATTATACAATCAGCGCCATACGTCCCTTGACAAACATAAGACCTGTATAGGTCAAAATCTGATTGCCACCAGGGTTAATTAAACAACAGCTAGATTAATGAGGATGCAAATGATAATGCATGTTCTGGAAGTGAAGATGAACGGTATGCAAAATACGAGCTAAGGGGAAAGCAGAGAAGAGACACAAGATGATGACGCAGAAAACCCCAAGAATAAGGGTAAAAACTACGGGTGGCAATGAGTCCACCAATCCATTAGGTAAATAAGTTGATACAAGTGCACTTTAGGTTTAGAATTGATTTGTAATGACACTAATGATTGCTAATTGCTATGAATACTAAGGCTTGAATATTTGTTTTTTGTGATGCCTTTGTACAAAGATTATCTCTCTATTTATAATAAAAGAATCATCTTGAAAGGCTTCAACGACTCCCTTCCAGATTCCGTAGATTCCAAAGCTAGTGGGCTGGGTAGTTCCTATTTCCTCACCATTATCCTTGTACACTTATCCGTTAAGGTTTGAATTGGTCTTTATCAACGACAATCTGAGATTCACGATTTCGATTCCTTTGGCACTTCCTTTATACTCAATCAATTGAGATACTCTTGGAATATTCCTTGGAAAAGTCTTTATTTAACTTCTTCAAGTACTTGGAATCAGAGTGTTGACTTCGTGATAACATGCAACCTAAAATCTGCGATCAAATGAACCTGTGATGAAAATTTAGGCACAACAATTTGCCCCCAGCTTGACTCTTAGAAGTTCCAGAAACTTCTACGAGGCAAGCTTAATAGATAAACTTAGATAACCAACGGAAAAATTATCAAATCAAAAGATAAATATAAGCTCTTAAATCCATTGCAAATGATAAACTTCTTGAAAAGATAACTCTTTTCTGTTCGACCTATTAAATGCATGCTTATAAATAGGTGGATAAAGGTCTCTTCAAGTCAGAAATTTCAAAGCAAATTAAAAATCGAAAATCTAGGGTTTTGCTTGCGAAAATTGGGGAAACTAAATCCACTTTAGTGAAGCGCAATTTAAGCTGGGATTTTACAGTGGTGGAATCAAGCTTTGCAAATTCACTTTACCCTTGTATGCTATTGCTCTCTTTTCTCTTTTAATTATGTTGCTTTCGTTGTTTTCTGTTGTGAAATTAAATTTGATTATGGTGAAAATTAAGCAATTTGCTAAGAAAAATTGCCATAACACTTAAATAGGAATTTGAGAGTGAATCAAGGTAAGATGGGGAAAGCCGACGAGGATAAACCTAGCAAGATTTTGGAGGCTGAGTTGATGGAACTAAAGAAGGTGTCTATATTCCTTGAATCTGTTGTGTTTTTTCACACCTAAACCTGAGGAGAGACCGCAGAGTTGTAGTGAGGATAACATTGTTTTCTATGAGTTCCTCTTTAAGAATGGTTTTAGTTATCCCTTTTCCCTTTTAGCTAAGAAAAATTTGGAGACCTTTGACTTAAGCCAAGGCCAGCTGATGCCTGTGGTTTGGAGAGTGATTAATAGGATGGATGGAATTACGGCCAATTGGAGGGAAAAGATGAACGCTGCTGATTTTATCAGATGCTATGAACTTAGGAAGAAAGACCTAGATAGGGTGATAGTTTACAAGCGA